GTCTGTTTGTGTATATTCGGCACGTTCTTACAAGGATACAGCCTCACCCAACCATCCTCGGTCATAGCTCTATAAAAATTAATTGCTTTATTTAGCGCATCGGAAACCTAAGAAACATTTATAGACAATTAACCTATTAAAATAACGAACGTAAAATATTTTTTTTATTAAGATATATTGTAATTAATAATTAAAAGCTCCCTTAAGTAATGTTGGTTCCTCGTAATTTTAATTGACATACAGATTTTTTAATAAAAAATATTAGCACTTCCAGTATCTGAAAGCTATGCTCAGCGAAGTGTTTCGACTATGGCTTTGTTGTGAATTAAAAAAACTACCACACAGACATTTGTTTGCTCTATCGACTCTCTTATTAAATTTTCAGCGTATTATTTGAAAGTGCTCAATACGATCTTAGGTAATATAGCAACTTAAATATATAAGCCGTTCGCCTGCAAAGATAAGACAAAACATTCGATATAAAAACGCGATTAAATATATTTGCTGCACTTTGTAGAGACGCAAAAAATTCGACTTCTTACGACGTTAGCAAAGCAAACCGACTTCACGCATTGCCAAAAGCAATCCTCGCAACCGCTGAACCATTGGCGTAGTGAATAGTGTAACGTAATCGCCATATATTTAGCGGTCGCCCTAGCTTCGGCGTTAATGACCAAGCGCAACGTCACAAGATTGTTGTCTCCCAAGGAGAGGTGGCGGGTAACATTGTTAGTTGGTGCCTGCTCTATCCTAAGGGGGAACTCGTATCGACAGAAAATTTATCCGATTAACATCAATATACAGTAGGTACGCGATATGCATCTTAGAGCTAAACTGAAAACTCAATTTGTACGATATTGAATTTCGAAATACGCCTTCACTTTAATTACTTCAGCATAAGAGTCACAGCTTGCAATATTATTTACTATGGAAACATTCAACTGGTATGATTGATCGTAGCTGCTATCGTACTTAGTATTGTATCAATTATAAGAAAAAGATAAAAAAATAGAAATTATGGGGACAGTCGAATGAAATGAAAACTGGAATTAGTGTTTTTTTATTTTTAAATGAATGATAGTTAAAATCACAAAACATTAATTTAAATTTCAAAAGAACTATTTCATTTCTAGCAATCTAAACCAATTAATATTGAGAAATTACATATTAAAAATCACACAAATACTATAGAACAAATTAGAAATTTATTTTACAGAGATTAAATATTTTAAAACAAAATGCTATATGCCTATCAAAATTTTCATGTCATCAACACGTAAAATTAACATGTCCGTCACGCGATTGTATGATTTTTACCCTATCCAAAATTGCTCAACGTTAGAAGTACAACGAAGTAGACGTACAACGGTACAAGTTATGGCTACAAAATACTTTTAAAGTTATTACACTTATTATACAGTAAAGTAACAGCCTATTTATAATTATGTTCCACTGTTACGCAAAAGCCTACTTTGTGCATAGTTAGTGTACAGCTGTACACAGTAGCTACATAGTATTTCAGGATGTTGAAAAAGAAAAAAAAAAAAAGCAACAATGGTTGTGGTTTCAGGTTGTGGATTTCTACATAATATACGAATAACCAGAGATACAAAAGATTGAATATAGATGATTTTACTTAACAGTTAGTACTTTTAATAGAATAGCAATTGAAAATAATTCTTTCGAAACATCTGTGCTAGTCTGTTGTAAACAATAAACAGCTAAACTATCAACAATAATTCTAAGGAAATACGTACAGTCTCTCCAGCGGCGTATTAGACACGTTTTATTTAATCTACATTACAAACTAATACCGGTTAAATGGCAATAGAGCTGGCGCGGGATGCCACTTTGCGCTCTCTACAAGTTCTGCAAACACGCTGTGTCGTTTTATTTAGTGTTGTACTTTCGGGGAATGTAACAAACGCAATGTATAAAATTTTGATTGCCCTTTGCCTACCAATGTGAGTCGTCTAAGATAGAAACACATTAAACACCGCTTTTAATTAATTGAAGATTGAGCTAATTGTGTCTGTTGATAATGATTTCAACTGAATTTATTTCGTATGTTCATGTTAAAATGTTTTTTTTAACATTTTATTAATTTCAGTTTTTTTATTGTTAAATCAAACTATTTTAATATTTTATTAGGTTTAATATATTGTTAAATTCCCGATGTTTAAAACACTTCACCTTTTTTGGGCCACGCAGCAACCTCGGCTGTGATGTACGAAACTGGCGCGAGGGCTGCTTTTTAAACGAGTATCGGAGCAACCCCCATGCCTCGGACGTAATCTCGACCAGCAAAGGCTGGTCGGTGGTAAAGATGGCCAACGGCCATCCTTAACTCTGACCGCGGCACTAGCGGGTGTACAGCGTTACACGCGGTGTGTAACGCGTGGACGACATCGTCTTCTCAGCGGCGGAGGTGCGGTCGGGTCCGGCTCCCCAGTACCCTCCGACTGCAGTAGCTCTCGTGGGAGCGGGCGCCCGTCAGGAGGACGGGCGTGAAGGGGTGCGATGTTATGGAGGCGTGGGTGCGGTCCGTTGTCGGTCCGGTCGTATATGCGACGGGCCAACCGAACTACAAACTCCTTGGCAAATTTTCACATAAAAAAAACTTCACGAAGTTAATCGTCACTGAACTGGCGAACTGACATTTTCATCTTCAAAAAATCTTGTGGATAGTGCGTTTAAGGAAGGACCGGTCAGAGTTTATGTGTATTAAATTTCACTAATAAACTGCATATAACGACGGGAAATTACACAATGTTTGGCTTATTTCCCGTCGTTACAGCGTCAAATTTATTTTTGATCGTCCTCTATGTGATTTTTACTACGAACAAATAAAGGTATAAGGTATATGTATATTAAATAAATTGGTCACCATAAAAATGTCATAATGCGCATGTCATATTTTTACTACCGCCTATAAGATTACTTATCATTATTTAAAACTAGCTTATACCTTCGAAGTCATGGATCTTGTGACGGAATTGAAATAAAAACGTAAATGTGACAAACTCATTCAAACATTTATATTCATGTTTATGTACCCTGTAAGATATCGTAATGTAAAATAAACTTAATTTTAAGTTAAAATTCTAGTTTCATGTTCTGTAATTACTATTGAAATCCACTGAATCGTTTCATTGCAAACTGAATATGTAAAATCTTGTAAAATAAATAGTTTTCACACATTTTAACATTTACTTTAAAATCACTTCACAGACACTTCGTTTTAAATCGATTTGGTATCGATTCATCGCCTTAACATAGCGGCGATGCGGAACTTTTCAGTTGGAACGAACCAGCTCACCACTGCTTAGGGTGGTTCACGTGCACACACAGCTGTGCCATCAAACTGGCTAATATAGTTAAACTCTTACAATGTCGCGAAATCGCATACAATATAGCCGTTCCCTAAACGTGAAGATGCGACGTGAGGAACTAGAACTTTCCGCTTGACCGGATTCGCCAAGTGGGTCAATTTCCACCTTAACCTATTTACACAGAGAAGCCTCAATGAATGTAATAATTGATATTGGTAAATAAATTATCGCGAAAACGGCTAAATAAAATAAATAGTTATTCCGCTTTATGGTATGCATACCGAACGATGACTTAATAACCTCCTCGTACTAGGACGTAGAGTAACAGTGACTCGGAGTCCGAACACACTACAAGATTTTCACTTCAACGTCTTAATTTCTAACTGCCAGTCTGGGAAACATGGTTTCAATTGAAAAACAACATTTGGAATGTCTAATTATCTGCGATTACTAATGGAAACGTATTGCTTTGCTCTAATGCCCACTAGTAGACTTGTATCTAACAATGGAACACATACAGGCTGTTACTTTACTCTTCTTATCCAAAATTTCCTCTCATATTTTGGCTTTATAATATTATTACTTTAAGTTATAAAGTCTGGACGGATAGCCATGTTTATTCACATAAATCGTGGTTAGAAATTTGAAAAGAGCAATATCTGTTGAATTCTACAAAATTCTGTCAAATATTCTGCTCGCTGTAGAATCCAGAAGATATAACGGGACTAATTTAATGGAGTAAGAAACTCACTTAAAGTTATTAAAACACTATAAACTGCCTCGCAGTCTAGCCATCAAGCTAATTGAAAACTACATTGTAGCCGCCGCAGACTCGCTGCAACTTAATTTCTAACATAAGATTACTTTCCTATTTTTTAGACGTTAGCTGCCTCCACAAAGAAAGTATAGTCCATTGATGTATTTTATTTCTGTTATAAACTCCAACAAAGGCTTCCTTGGAAGTTGCCAAGTAAAGTTGTAAAAGATGTAGCGAGAGGTTTAGTGACATTGTAGGTATGACGAATATCAGATACATTGCGTCTTTTACTAAAGTAGTTTATAGATCTATTACATGATCTAAGCTCAGTTAAGACGTGATGTATTTACACACAGGTATTAGAAAATATTATTTTATAATAAATTAGGGTAATTTTGAATGATTATATGTATCGCGTATTCGCACATATATTGCAGATGGAGTGACGCCCTGTGTAAATGTGTGAGAGGTCGATGGATGCAGATGGCTCAGGTTCGTACTTCGTGGTAGTCTATGGGTGAGGCCTGTGTTCAGCAGTGGACTCAAACAGGCTGAAATAATGATGATGTTGATAGGTATTGCATATTGGACCACCTTCCAACATGTCCATACATCATCATGTATGTCATAGTAACCGTAAAATTTGTCAATTCTTTTGCTTCTCCTTCTGGAGTGATCTACAAATATCTTGACTGTATCGTATGAACTAAAATAGTGCGCATGGTTCCATAGTAGTATTTTTATTGGTTCAATTTTATTAAAACTGATATATACACCAATTTCGTTTTATTTACTGATAAGGCTATGCCACAAAGTTGGTGCATGCGTTGATTTAAAAACTTTATAATATCTCAAGTCGTCTCATATCATTCATATGAAGCTTTATATAATGGTATCTATAAAATAACACAATGGTCGATTCAAGTGCAGTTCACCCGGTACAAAGTGAATCTTTCTTTATGCTAAGGAAAAGGCCTCCATCTGTGGGACCGTTTTGATATTCGAATCTACAACCAAAAACCTTAAGTCACTGCATAATGGATGGATTTTTTTTTGTAAAAGGGGCAACCTACTAGCAGGCCACCTGATAGTAAGCGCCCACCACCGCCCATGGTCACTCGCAATACCAGAAGAGTCATAAACACGTTGCCGATTTATTGCAAAAGGAATGGGCTCTCTTCTTGAAGGTCATCGCGTGTATGTTGATGTCATTACTATTTTACTATATTAAGGTAAAAAAAACTTTGTTTCAGTTCGCAATGGATACTCTTGCGTACCGATCGCGCTTTCGGAGGGACTCGACATAAGGTTGAGCACTTCCGTCACTGACATTGTCTACGGAGGGCCGGGGGTCACCGTGAAGGCGATCAACCATAGGTCATCCAATCAGGCCCAAACATTCAAAGGTAATGGCATCATAGCTTTTAAGCACTTTGAAGACCACCAACTTATCATCACCTCGTCCGAAGACCCTGTAAATAACTGGCGTCTAACATATATAAATATTATAAGTAAAAAAGACAGTCGTTGTGGTGTTTCAATAGGATAAACGTATTAGTTATTCTCATGGTAACATAAAATAATGCTCATGAAACATTACCGCACGAATCGTAAAATTTGCAAAGACGAAACGTTGATTTGGATTTTGCCGCCTAAGAAAATTAATGCAATCATCGTGCCGCCAGAAAAAAAAGTGTAAATCTAATTCGTGCGCCCGTTATGTCAAAGAGGCAGGGTTACGAAAAAAGGCGTCAACGAAAAAAGAAAAAAAAAAAAAAAAGAAGCAGCAAAGAGAGCACAAAACCCGACCGCCGACAAATTAATGGGCGTTATGAGAAAAATCCACAGCCCGACGCGGCGACGCGGACGGCACCGGCACCTCGTCATTCCTTTGTCGCGGGCAATGATTTGCAATTCCGTAGCGCTAATTTCGCTTTGGCGGGGCGCGAAATGCGGGCTTCCGATGACCCGCGTCGGCTCGTCCTCTCGCGCCGCATTCGGGCCGTGCTTATTTTTTTTATGCGATAAAGTGGCAAACAAACCGGCGATTCACTTGACATTTGCAACATCCGTAGGGTTGCAGATGCGTTGCCACCTTCTAATAAAGTGGGCCCCAGCTACGACACTCACCAGACGAAACGCATAGGTGTAACACTTCTACTTCACGCCCGTCTTCTGTGAGGTCGTGCTACTGACCGGGACGGACCTGCTCATTAGTGCAACAGCGAAAGCAAAAATCATTCTCGATTGCCAATGCGCGATTGTGGACGTGAAGCTGAGGCGACTCGCATTTACTTGGCACCGGACGGGCCAAGTCAATGCGAGGAGCAAAAGAAAAAGCTCGCCGTTCCCACCGAACGCCGGCCACGGGCCAAAAATATCGCTCCCCGTGAATTTTCTCTTTCAATATTCGCCCCGACAGCTATCGCATTGCAACTTACTGACCCAAATAAAACGCTTTCAGCATTCACCGTGGTAGATATCGTTGCGAACTGTTCCGGCCGTTGATAGACGGTTTCGGGAAATTTTAACTTTGTATATTTTCATTCGCTCTAGTTTTAGCCTTTTTTCTCATATATGTAGTAATTCTCTTAGTACTTTATTTCAAGCTCTGTGGTACTGGGTGCCTCTTCGTATCAACTCATTTGAGTTTAACAGAGCTTATTGTACCTAAACTATAATATGTCTAACTCTTCTATGCGTGCGTGTGTCTGAACTCTTTTTAAACGGCTGAACCGATTTTGATGAAATTTTTTGTGTGTTCAAATGGATTCGACAATAACTTAGATTCACAATTCGGTCCATATAGAATATTTTTTTAATTATTATTTTTTATTTATAAGTTTTCGATTTTAAGTAAGATTTAAAACACAGTGTGCACAGGTCTGTAGATGAATTATAAGAGAGGCCGTTGAGCAAGCCAAGTAAAGAAACCGCAAAAAATACTCACATGCGCATATCACCCAGCTTCGAACTCGAAGATTTCAAAGCATTCTCGCTCGGTTTGAAGCAACATAAGTAATTATTAAAATGTATGCGTTATGTATACCTGTATACCTAAATAAATATATATATACTAGTATAAATGTATACCTTATGGTTCCTTCCTCCCTCAACACAAGTACGAAATCATGCATGAAATTTTTAAGTAAAGTAAAAGTGAAAAACAGCCTGTACACATCCCACAGCTGGGCAAAGGCCTACTATGTACAGAGGGTATAACAGGGCACAGTTCACGAAATATTTTGTGCCGGCACCGCGGATCGAACTCAGGTCCATGCTCGAGCATATTAAATTAAAGGCGGGTAATTCTATGTACATTTAGCTAACATGACGCGCACACAATATTTACTATGTCTACCGTTTCTTTTATATATTTTTTCTCCTTACTAATAAATATTTAAATCCTAATAATACGCCTCAACCCTAACCTCACTTAATACCATCGTAAGTTCGAGAGGAGCACGGCTTTTCGATTAATGTAAATGGCGTTGTGTTTGCGACGCATAAACCCCAAAAGCTAGGCGTCGTTAGCTAAGACCGAGTGCAGCTCTAATGCTGATTGCTAGTCTTTATAGCGCAAGACTCTCCCGTTTTACGAGCCCTTTTTTCCCTCGCACGTTCATAAAAGTTTCAATAAGCGTTAGCACAGCTTGCTCTCTCAAATACAGTGTTATGAATGAAATTCTTTCGTTTGATACGATGCAAAATATTTACTTTATATTTGTCCGCGAAAATCTAATCAAAAATAACCGTATTCTCTTTACAAGAAAGATATTTTTGTCTGATTCATTAGTATTTTAGCCGCTCAATAAGCTTTGGTTGGTAAAATTGATAAAAACGATCAGATTATAATTTTCACATAACTTTGCTCGTAGTGTTAAATTTTTTTTTTGAACAGCAAATAAAGTAAGTTTTATAGTCATTTCAACACCAAAGATATAAAATTATCAAGAAATGGCAAAGGCAAGTGTGTTCTGAAATCATTCCCGTGTTTAGATTTTTAGGCATATTGAATGAGTGCATAGAGATATGAAATTCCGAAGGTCAGTTTTCAAAGTAATGTCGAAGTAGTTGAGATGTTGGATCTGAGAGAGTGAGTTCGACAGTTGCGATTCACAATAATAAAGTTCTAAGATGCAAAAATCTAATATCGCGCAGATAGTTTACTATTATGTTTTATGTAATAGGTCCCTTGAAAGTAACTAGGAGTATGTAGGTACCCAGTCATGGATTAAAGAGTAAGATTTTCATTTACATCCAACAGCTCGTTCAATTAATTCGTCGCTAGTAATAGTTTCGCTATTGGCCGTTTGGAGGGTCGTCGAGGAGACGGCGCGAATGGAAAGTTTAATACGCCACGATATTGTTCCAGGTGATGTGGTTCTCTGCACTTTGCCGCTGGGAGTGCTCAAAGTTGCAGTCGCGAACAACGGCCAGAACCAACAGAACTTTGTTAAATTCGACCCGCCCCTGCCCGACTGGAAGGTTCGTAAACTGCGGCTCAATGCGGAGCGGACGGAGGGGCGATTTTTTTTTTAATATTATCCCACAATGCAGCCTAGCGCGGCGCGGATTAAAACGGTATTAAAAACGCGTCCTGATTAAATTCTGCATCAACTTGAACGGTTCGCGCGGATAAAATAAACTGGGTTACATTTTGCTCGGCTATACAAATGGACAGGACACAAATACATTATAAAAAACGAGAACAAAACTGACTGACAAATATCTCTTCACTCTCCATTTGCTATTGAATTTTGAATAGTCTCTAAGTATCTCCGGATTTCAAGAGTTGGGATCTAAATTGAACCCAATACAAAATATTTAAAAAATGTTAAAAAAAATACAACCGGATTTAAACCTCTTTCGTCAATATAATATTTAATCCTGCTTGTTGAGCTCCATTTGTTATCTATACGAACTATGATACATCTTCGTTGAATAGTAATTTAATTTTTTTTAATAATGTCAGAGTTTATCTTATTCTTATGTAGTAATGTGTATATACTTATATTATAAACTTTCAACTTTCGGAGTAACAATCTCTTTCATGGGTAAGGGATTTTTATTTCGTCAACTGTTAGCGCGATCATTAAAATAACGGTTACTTCTCCAGGTCGCAGCTATTAAGCGTCTAGGCTACGGGAATCTGAATAAAGTTGTGCTTTGCTTCGAGCGGACGTTTTGGGACCCGAGTGCCAATCTCTTTGGCCACGTGGGCACTACGACCGCTAGTAGAGGTAAGCTATTAAGCCGTTTAATGTATTCCTGCATGTACTGTTATGAGACTCTGTTACGCTATTTGATACGCGGCAGAATTCTACTCTCCGAGTTGTGTTTTCGATTCTCGTATGAGCGAGTGTTTGTTGTTGGTGTATGCGTGTGTATGTGTTGATCTAGAGTTATTTCTTCAGGTTTGGATGTTTATGTAATGTAACATTTTTTAGAGTAAAAGTGCTTACCGTCATCTTTAGACTTTGATAACACCCGTCAAGCTGCAATTTCTTTACCAACCTTAATGCGTGGCCCACATACCACATTCAGTACCTCATATAATGCGATAATATAGTTTTCTTACAGTATATATTATTATAGTTTTTTAAATCTAAATATGTACTATTTAGAGATAAAAAGAAAGTAAAGTATCAGCTTATACATGTCCCACTGATGGGCAAAGACGTCCTCTGTACCCCCTGTCCCTTGTGTCCTTTGTCCAGCTATTTAGAATACTTTTTAGAGGTAAATAGTGTTTGTCTTTTTAGAAATGTTAGAAAAATTGCCACAACTATATTCTGAATGATAAAATTGAAAAACATTGTGTTAAAAATAACGAAGAACGTGTATATATTATGTATTTTAAATATTTATGAACAGGTTTAACAATATTTAACTTACTTTGTTGTGCCGCATATATTGGGCAAGCAATTCCCTGAATGTATATTTTCTGCACTTAGCCATTATTGTGTGGAAAGTGGGCTCAATAATTTAAACAAAAAAAAACTTGAATGCTCATATAATATTTACACTGTACACGCTGGTCGCAATGAATCTTTATAGAATCGAGGCCTCCTCGGATCGCCGAGAAAATTAACTCGGCGCCCCTTGCGCGCTCCGAGGATACAACTCGTAAAATTATTTCCCGTTGTAAATAGTGTAAAACGGGGGAACATCGGCCGCGACGCGATAACGAATTAAAAGCTGAATAATTTAACGCCACTGAGGGACCGCGGGGGGGCGCGCTTGGCGATAAATCACCGCGGCGAGACCAGACGTGCCATTTTTTACGTTATGCTTTAGTACACCTCCTTAGCTCTTTGTTGGCCACTCGTGGCTTCATTAGGGCCCCGCTTTGGCGATGGGAATACCGGAACAATGTGAGGGAGGCCGTGTGCCTTTTTTTCCTCTCTCTCCTACTCGATACCGATTTAGCGTTTTCGCGCTATCTGATGAACGCTATCGGCCGACGTTTCTTTGCGAGTTATGTGAGAACACACTCCCGCACCCGCTTCTTAATAATACGCTCAACCGAAAACTTAATTATGGTCTCATTATAAACGCTATCGATGCTTTGATTTTGCGAAAGTTAACAAATATAGCTATACATTTACATATTTATTGCTTATTCACTTTGTTATTTTATCTTATTTTATTGTTATTATTATTTTCGCATGAAAACATTTCAACAACTTTAGATTCACGTGAAATCTTATATTCAAATTTTAAACACATATAAAATTCAATTTTAAATACATCACATTCAACGTTGATTCGCATAAATATTAGATGTTACATTATAATTTATATCTTATTATCTGTTTGTAGAATACACAACTGTTTGGCTTCGACAAAATAATTCAATCAAAGGCAACGTAAGGAAAAATTAGATAAAGGCTTCTTTACGAACGTAGTCGTCGCGAATTTATGTTTCTTGGAAATTTGTAATAACATCGCGTGAGAGATATTTGCAATAAAGAAATGGGTAATGGGATTTTTTAAAAGCAATTCTCCCTTTGATATATTTCTTGTTATTGTCGAAATTTGTGGGTATGCGTGATGATACTGAACATATCAGAGCTCGACTCAAGGCTACGCTTAGTATGGCTGATTGGATACATATTACCCCGCGTAAAATCTGTAAAATTGTCGAAAAATATTCGCCGCTGCCAAAATTCTAACCAGCGCATACAGGGTTGCGCTTGGCTTAGTAACAGTAGTGAAAAATTATTCAACAATTTTATCTTAAGGACCTTCAAAAAGAGAGCCTATTCCTTCCAAAGGGCGGCAACGCAATTGTGACCCTCGGGTGTTGCGATTGCCCATGGCGGTGAACACTTTCAACCAGGTGGCCTAAATGTTTACCTTCTTTTCCATAAAAAACCTTCACATTTTAAGTTTCAAGCTTAAGTGCAGAGACCAGCATTAAAAAATATTAGTGATTTCACCACGAAGAAGGTTGAAACGTTATTCTTCAAAATAAGACACCTTTCTTTGATAAATACTTAACCTTATTATATTACCATTCAGTGATTGATCATGATACTTGTCAAAATTGTATCGGACCTGTGGTAGGACCACGCAACAGCCGTCCTTGTGGCTCGAGTGGGCAGGTCCGTCCGAGTCAGGTCCATGACCTTATAGAAGAACAGCGTGAATTGGAAATGATATACGTTTCGTCTGTTGTGTGAGGTAGCCGGGGCCCAATTAATTATAAAGTGGCTACGCATCTGCAACCCTACGGATGTTGCAAATATCCATGGGCGGATATTATTTTGAATATTCGCGTAAAAACAAGAAATCGATACGACTCAACTATTTTTTTATGTGAAAAAGTGGCAAACGAGCTGGCGGTTCACCTGATGTTAAGTAATGACCGCTGCCCATGGAAACCCGTAGGGCTGCAAATGCGTTGCCACATTTAAATAACACGCAGAAGTGTAACACTTCTACTTTACGCCGTCTTCTGTGAGGTCGTGTTAATTACCCGGATGGACATCCCATTCGTGCAACAGTGAAAACTGTTGCGTGGCCCTACCGCAGATAACAAAATCAACTACAACTACAACAAAGAACAACTAGTTATAACAATTGCGGTATTCCTCTAGGCGAGCTGTTCCTGTTCTGGAACCTGTACAGCGCGCCCGTACTTCTGGCGCTGGTGGCAGGTGAGGCGGCGGCGGTGATGGAGAACGTCACGGATGACGTCATCGTCGGCCGCTGCATCGCAGTCCTCAAGAGCATCTTCGGCCACGCCGCCGTGCCGCAGCCTAAAGAGTGTGTCGTCACCAGGTGGGAAAATAAAATGTTGCTATCGTGTCTAAATAATTTTTACTTGACGTTGGAACTCCCAAATTAAAAATTGATAATTTTTTAGATTTATTTTTCTGTTACTCTCGCAGAAGTATGTTTACTGTTTAATTTTCCGCTGCAGTTTTCTGTGTCTAGCATTAATTAAAAACAAGTACAAAAGTTTTAATAACGAAAACTAAAACTGACTACGTACTACTCACTATAAATTCTCTATTTCATATTAAGGAGTTTTTTGTTCCCTTTCTTTCGGAGTCCAAGGTGTCCGAGGAAAATAATGTGATCATACGGGAGCTAAACCGAACCCGAAGCAAAAACAATTTTTGAAATCGATATTTAAATGTCGGAGTTCTTACGTAACAAACATGAAAAAACACTACCAAATTAAGAACCTCCTTTTTTATTGCCTCAATTGGATAGGCCAATTGAGACACTCCTCTTTTTTTCGAAGTTGGTCGCAAACATTGTTAAGTTACGTAACTGGTTCGTTTGTGATAGATGGCGCGCAGATCCTTTCGCGCGCGGCTCGTACAGCTTCGTGGCGGTGGGCTCTTCCGGTACGGACTACGACCTCCTCGCGGCGCCCGTACCAGGTCCTCCGGGGGAGAACCGACTGTTCTTCGCGGGTCAGTATACACAGTTTGTCCGAACATTGGTACAAGTATACTGAGTAGAATAAGGCAATCCCTTATATGACCAGTCCCCATGGGACAATGATGACAAACAGATCAAAATCCCAGAAAAAGTTCCAAATGTATCAGTTGCTAAGTTTAGAAAAAATGTGAATGTATGTTTGTGTGTTATAGGCCTCTGGAAATCAGTTGATCGCTCCAGACTGTTTCAAGTGGACTTTTTTTTATCTGAGAAAGTGGCAAACGAGCTGACGATTCACCTGATGTTAAGTGATAACCGTCGCCCATGAACAGTTACAACACCCGTATGATTGCAAATGCGTTGCCACTCTTTAATAAAGTGGGCTCCGGCTAACTCACTCGCCAGACGAAACGCAGAAGTGTAACACTTCTACTTTACGCCGGTCTTCTGTGAGGTTGTGGTACTTACCCGGACGGACCTGCCCATTCAACAGTGAACACTGTGGCGTGGCCGTACCACCGCAGACTTTAATATATTCTATAAACGTTATGGCCAAATAATCGTATAAAAAAATAAAAAAGGCCCGTTGAGTTTCTTTCGCCGGTTTTTCCTAGGTCAGTGGCTTTTTTTCGAATCGCTGGTAGTAGTATTTTGACAATTAGTGAAAGTAAGGCTTCTACATTGAATAAAGATATTTGAGTTTGAATTCGTATGAGAGAAGTCTCTGCGAGCTAAATAGTTATCACCCAACAAATCCACCTGATAGGTTTCTTACAGTTTGTCGCGACAAAAGTGGGGCGAGGGAGACGCTTTAGGCGCGAGCGAGGTAGCAATATTTTCGCCAAGAAAAAAAAAGTAAACTTGATGCAAATAAGTTGACTGAAATGGCTGGTACACTGCCCCTTCGGCAGTGTACCTGTCCGTTCGAGGCTTGAGAAATCCCCCTGGTATTGAGTTAGTACATGGGCAGCGGCCACTCACTACCAGGAGAATCTGCTCATATCCCACCTTGTCATACATAAAGTGTAGGAAATGAGCAGAAATAAGATGCTATTTTAAAATAACGTTACTTTGTCGTCAGCACCTGAGGACAGGCTGCATCTGTAGCTTTTAATTTTTAAAACTAAAGGATTTGTGATAGCAAGCTATTGTCATTTACGCCAATCTCATGAAATTATTTGTTTGTTTACTTATTCTTCATTAGAATACCTTAATTAAGGTTTACAAAGGGTGAACTCATCGCCTTTATGTGTTGTCGGTCGGGACGTGGAAATACATTATGGTAGACGCAGTAGTAACAGTGGACATAATTGCACATAAATATATTAACAAAAGTACATATAAATAAAGTTATAAGCTATAATAACACAAAGATAAAATCTGCTCATCGTCAAGGTTGACGATGTACGCCACTTATGCGGGACAGACGGTTTTTAGGGTTAGGTACCCAAAAGGTTAAACGGGACACTGTTCCTAAGAATCCGCTATTTGTCTGTCTGTCTGTCCGTCCGTCTTTCACCAGACTATATCTTATCAACTGTCATAGTTAGACGTATTTTGGTGACGATTTTCTGTTGCCGCTATAACAGCAGTTCGTAAAAAACAAAATAAAAATATTAAAGTGTGGCACCCATACAAGAGATATGATTTTTTTTAATTATAGATAATGGTACGGAACTCTTCGTGCGCGAGTCCGTCTTGCACTTGGCTGGTTTTTGGTGTAAAACCTGAATCCGGAAAGTATTCGCTCGAATAATGTACCTTTAGATCGTCACAGCTAGTTTTTTAACATCATGGTCTAGGTAGTACAGACATAAAAGCTACCTGACCCGTAAAACGATCGATAAAGAAACAATAGCGCAGAAGATTGCAGTATTTACATAAATAAAAAATAAATTAGTATTTCAGGATATATTTTTATACAACGTTATCTAGACCCAAACCTAGCAAAGCTTGTACTATGGATACTAGGTAACCGATAAACATACTTTTCTTTTATAAATTAAAACATATTATAGATATATAAACACCCAGACACTAGAATCACTCTATTTTCATCACACAATATTTTCCAGTAGTGGAGATCGAACCCACACCCTCTGGCGCAGGAGACAGGTCCACTATCCACTACACCAATCGGGTCGCCTTAATGTTTGATAGACATTATATGCGTATTGAAGTTCTGAGGAAAATATTTGTTTTCGATCTTCAAATAAAGCTTCAAAGCTAATGGCGTTCGACTCGTTTACATTAATATTTCTTGCCTTTAAATCACGTGTTTTCTTTTCATTTTTAATTTTAACTACCAAGCATTGCTTTGCATGAACGATTCCAAGTATTTGAATTTTTTAATTTTTTTTTCTATGCGAAAAGATGTCAAACGAGCAGACGGTTCACCTGATGTTAACTAAATACCGCCGCCCATGGACATCTGCCACACCCGAGGGTTACCTTTACCCATATCTTTTGAAAATTGGGCTCCGACTACCTCACTCACCAGACGAAACGCGAATGTATTTGTCATACTTCCACTTTACACTGGTCTTCTGTGAGGCCGTGGTACTTACCCGGACGGGCCTGCCAATTCATGACTCACTAACCAGACAAAACGCGAAAAAATAATTCTCCCACTTCGCGTCGGTCTTCTGTGATGGTACTTCCTCGGATGAGTCTGTCCTTGTATCTTGTATTAACTGATGTTTGTGCTTTCAGTCCCGAGACTATTAAAGCTTCTTATTTTTTAACTGTGGTAGAGCCACGCAGCAGCCTCGGCTGTTGCACGAATGGGCAGGCTCGTCCGGGTAGGTACCACGACCACACAGAAGACCGGCGTCAAGTGGAAGTATAATTACTTTCGCGTTTCGTCTGGTGAGTGAGGTAGCCGGAACCCAATATTCAAAAGGTTGTCAACGCATCTGCAACCCTCGGGTATAGATGATGTCCATGGGTGGCGGTAGTCACTTAACATCAGGTGAACCGCCTGCGCATTTGGCAACTTTTCACATAAAAAAAAATGCTTCATCTGACGCAGAACCCACGGGTTTGGGCCCTCCACTATGGGTAGGGCCGCGCATGTGCTCATGAGTGAGTTTAACGAGTCTGTCCACTCGTGCATTAGCAGTTAGCGGGCTGCTGCGTTACCCATTGCTCTCCTGTCTGTAACTGAGCGTATAGATTCTAGCATCGGATGTTAATCGGATCTCTGATTTTTTGAGGCGTCAGGATTGGGTTAGTTGTGGCGGTTTGTGGTATTATGTGAAACTACAACGACCTTATTATTTATTGGTTAATGTGACATTTATCTTTATATGTAGGTTATCGTAGTTTAAATATGTTTTGATCTAGATTTTATTGATATTTCACTAGATGTCTATCCCTAGATGGGCGCATAGCCGCCACATCTTATTGAAGGAAACTTAGTGTAGTAGGTAAAGCACTTAAAACTCAATAATGATAATTATATTTATTTTACTTCTATGACATCTTGCAACTTTTACATCCGTTTCTACACCTACTAATGTGTTAACTGGTAAAGAATACTTTTCTGTGTTAACTACTCCGTTTGGTACCTTTTATATTTAAGCTTGGAAGTAAAGATTTAATAGATAAATAAAGCAATTATAAAACGTCGATGTTACATTTAAATTAAGGGAAATAGAGCATCAAACAATTCTCCCATCGCATTAGTTAAACTTCGAGCCAAAATCATGAATGAGGGAGTAGAATAACATTTTCCTTATACACCTTCGCAGTACTTCCGATAAGGAAAAAACGCTGCATGAGCTCATAAAAAGTTATGTAAAGTATCTTAAATCTCCGGAAACGTTGGAATTGATTCTTCTACGTTCAGCTTTTAAGGTGAAGTACGGAGGCTTTTGATGGGCGAATAAAACTTTATACGTTTTTGTTCTGTTGCTTTATCATCAACAATATATCAGTTCTTTATAGTTTAGATGGATATCAATTGGAAGTCAAATTATATCAGATCTATGAGATTATGCTTTTATTTATAGCTGATGTTCCATTGCTGGCTTCTCAATAACAGACAGGGTCAATAATGCTGCTTTAAATCACATCCTGGGTTGACTGATAGAGAAAGACTTTGAGAATTAAGTCCGCTTTTTGATACCTTGTTTTATTTCCATCTAATAAAGTAAATTTTGTGATACAAACCAACAGAGTGTTATAATAAAATATTCAACACTTTAACGTGAATACTATTCAATGTAGAAGCATTACACTTATTGATTGCAAAAACACTATCACCGGGTCGGAAAAGAAAAGTCACTGAGCTGAAAAGAACCGACGAAATAAACTCAGCAATATGTTTGTGTCCTTGTGATATTGAGGCGATTCACCTGATTTAATGACCACCGCCTATGAATACTGCAGGCATTCTTGGGCGTTGCAGAGTGTACTCGTAATTCACGTGGAGTTGCAGAGGCGTTACCACCTATTAAAAACTGGATATTGATTACCTCGTTCACCAGACGAAATACAGAAGTATAATACTACAATTTCACCCCGATCTTATGTCAGTGAGCCGTGATAGATAACTATATTTCGAAGATATGTGGGGCCGCGTGGTGGACTCCTGGGTAAAGGACTCCTCTATACCCTCTGTATAGAGGAGTCCTGCAGTGGGACACGTATATGCTGATACTAGTACTTCCTCGTTAAGAGCCTGCGCTGTCGTGCAACAGGGGAAGCTGCTACCCCACCACAGTGGCATGACAATTTTTTTTAATGCGAAATGTTGCCAAACGAGCAGACGTTTCACCTGATGTTAACTGAATACCGCCGCTTAAGGATATCTGCTACACCCGAGGGTTACAGATGCGTTAACAACCTTTTGAAGATTGGGCTCCGGCTACCTCACTCACCGGACGAAACGCGAAAGCATTTGTCATACTTCCACTTTGCGTCGTTCTTCTGTGAGGTCGTGGTACTTACCCGGACGGGCCTGCCCATTCGTGCAACAACCGAGGCTACCACCGTAAAGCAATGCACGGTCTGCGGTACAGGCGAGCACACGATGCGCAACTACCCGGCGACTGTACACGGCGCGTTCCTCTCCGGGCTCCGCGAGGCGGGCCGCTTGGCCGACCTGCTGCTCCCTCAGGCGCCCATCACGGCCGCCAGCGTTGCAGCCGCCACCGCCAACGCCAACAGCGCGCAGTAATAGACCGTATGCCCCACACTGTAGGTACATTTCCCTTTGCACAGCGCCTACCAACGAAGGTTCGGAATTCACTCTACCCGTAATAACTCGACCTATACACGCTAATTGTCAAACCTGTTGCTTTCTGTTAAATTTGTGGCGATCTGTTAATGGACGCCGTCAACCTCACATCCCTTTGTGTTTTCTTTAAACGCGTTTTGTTTAAAAGTCCTTACGCCATTTATGACTATCAGAATTTTGTACGTTAATTTTATTATTAATTTTATTTAAACTCTCAGACATATCACTAAAACCGTGGAAATCTATATTAAATTAAATTTACCGTTCTAAAATGCATAGAAGTGTAAAATGGCTTTGTGATATTTGTATGTTTAACTTATATGAACGAACTCATCAAACATTTTGTTTAAAAAAAGAGTAAAGTAATAAAAGAACTAAAGAGACCTCTCCATACAATTCTACGGTTTTGGATTTTTTAGTATTTTGTGGTATTTTAATTTTAAATTTTCATTTGTATTTTTAATCCATCACTTATTTCTTATACTTACTTAATTAGTTTAAAAGAAGAGTTAGACCGTCCAAAACTAAGAATTAATTTAATTGAATTTTTTTTTGTTATCTTACGGTAGTTAAAATATTAAATTTAAAAAAAAAGATGAGATAAATTTACTTTCCTCATCTTCATCATACCCCGCAAAATATAATTTATAATCGTAATGAAAACTATATTATGCTTTAAGTAAGCAAGTTAGAAACGCTTTCATACAACATGAAGTAACACTTATATCACTGTTACAAAGCCCGACCAGAGACATTTATTTCTAATCCAAGTAAATACAACGAGACATTCTCTATCCCATCATCTGTTCCCAGTCGGAATAAACTGGTCTTTGTGTTTTTTGTTTTATTTCGGTCTGATGCCGTTGTTATATTTGGATAACGATTTAATAATATTCGTTTCATTAGGAACGTAACGGGTATAAGATGGGGGCGCTATGATCCAGTTTATCTTAGAAATTTCTCATTAGGTTTAATGATTCACTGTAAGGAAGGTTAACACACCGATTACTTTAATTGAAAAGAAATATTGTAAAACATTACCGCTTTATCTTATTTTGTTTGATTATATAAGATGGCAAGGAGACAACAAGGGCTTTCGTTAAAAAATTGTATTAATTTAAGAAATTATAGAAATGTAGCTTAGTTTTTATTTTTCATTGATAATTTTTTGATCAATAAGGGTTTAATTTCTTCGATGTAACGACGCGAAAAATAATAGTTTTTTAAACCATAATAATAGACTAATTTTTCGTACCTTTTTATTTTGAAATACTCATTACCATCTGTGGTGATTGCCTTAATTTAATTGACAAGCGAAAAAGCTTAACGAATAAAATGCAAAACACAAAACAATTAGCGCTAAGCGATGTTCATTTTAATCTTTCCGAGAGAGGTCCAACTGGAGAGGCTTAAAATGTCCGTTTTGTATAATACTAAAGATTTATCCGAAAGCTCACGGTCGCCAGTACTAAATAACGCCGATAAAAAAGGCTATCTGCATCCCGCATCGAGTTGCAATAATGGTCCACTTCCTCGAGCATGACTCGTGTTGATATCGCAAGTCGTGCTTGGCTCCTCTCACACCTTATCGCTAAAATGATTTGTGCAGCCGATTGCCATGGATAGTGTTGTGTACTGTTTTTGCGAAATACTTAACTGTTATGCTGACAGCGGCACAAGGGTCACGCGAAAATGACTCGATATGAGTGTATCATTCAGTGTACCGTCGTGGTATATGCAACAAGTCGATTTACAGTTAGGGATAGTTTTGCAGGATTGGCTAAAAACCTTTTATTTTTCGTTCTATTAGTGAAATATAATTTGTGTTATTAACAAATTCATGGTGTGCAAAGACACACGAGTCCTTGCAAAATTTGGTAAATTAGTAATTGTTTCGATTACTACAACGTTAAAAAGCTAAATTGTATTTTTTTTTTGTCTTTCCGTCTATTGTATGTACGACAACGATATACTATGTATATGGATTGGATGTTCAAATTTACTACTCTAGAAATACTCTTGAAATACATGGATTTGTAGTGTGATGAAATAAATATAAGTTTTTTTTTGTTTTATGTAATTGAACTTTGAATGTGGTTGTGAAAATATTGTGTTGACATTGTTCAATATTGTTTTTTCTTAATTTATGTGTCTTTTGTGCGACTATGAGTTAGGAAATATTGTCATTATAAATAAGAAACAAGCTTGATCCATTGAATTGCTTTGTATGTCCAAAAGAGGCAAACATGTATTGCTGAAATGTTGAAAATGTACTACCATGTTCTGTTAAATATTGTTACAATAAAAATATGAATAAAATAGTCAATTAATCTGAATCCGTAGAACAACATTCTTAAAAAATAAACGTATATTCTGAACGAGTGAAATAATTGAAGTTATTCGGCTAAAATATTGTCTTATGTGCAGTACTTTTGGTGTTCCATTTAAAAACGTGAAAGTTATTACAAAATAATATTTTTTTTTTCATTTGATTTTTTGGTGAACTATATATACAATGCAGATAATTTTGATGTTAAAATGAAGATCTAATAACAAATTTAAATACTGTCCTATTTTGCAGAAGTTAAGTAAAGCCCTAAAAGCAATAATCTTATATTCAAAATTATTTTTTAAGAAGTTTATGAGAGAATCATTCTTGAGAGAATACTTAGATGTAAGAGGATATAATTTTGTTTAGATCTAGATTCTTGATGGACTATCTAATTCACACTTACATATTTTGTGCAATCTACAAAGTATAAATCACCAATTATACTTTTTGGATTGAAATAAAACCTATGGAAGACTTAAATCAATTGGCAATAGTGACATTAGAATATTTTGGTAGTGAATTTTGCTTAACACTGTACTTTAGATTTAAGTTAAGAAGTTTTTTTTTTATTTGTGTTGTGTGCCTGCATTTGAATTTTGTACGAAAATATAATTTTATAGTAATTTCGATTTGTATTATTTTCTTGCGCCTACCCTTTGTTAACGGTGAAACGAGATAATATTTATTTTTACTATAGTAAATATAGGAAGTCGTGATATCTTATTGTCCGAGCGCTCGCTTAATTCCATATACTCGAGCAACCTGAGTTTGATCCCCGGTGCAGGCACCAATGTAATTGTTAATTTTAAGTGCTGAATTATCACGTGCTCAGCGGTGAAGGAAAACATCGTGAGGAAACCTGCATATTTTCGAAATAATAAAAAAAGTCCGCCAATCCGCGGTAGGGCCGCGCGATGGGCTATGGCCTAATACCCTCTGTACAAAGGAGGCCTTTGCTCAGGTCTGGGACATTTATTTATTTATTTATTTGGGAAACATACAGTATACACCGTACTTATAGTTATTAAAAATAGCTTGTACAAATACCAGTTAAGTTTCCTCTAATAGGAAAATCATAAATGAACCGAAATTAAAAAAGAAAACAATTACATACTAAACAATATAAAAAATTAATAATAAACAATAACAACAGCAATAGTTAGTAAAAGTGTAACAAAAAAACAATAAATTACTATTTTTATTTGAAAATTAAACTGATTTAATTACCCTTAAGTATTTTAGAAATTAACTTTTTGTACGGATTAAGGGAAAAGTTAAAAATGTCAGCACTATTAAATTTTGAGTTAAAGGTTCCGCAGGATCTCAACAAGAACGAATTTTTTGCATAATTCGTTTTTGTACGCGGAACATAAAACAAGTTAGGGTTACGTGCACTAGTTCGAGGGCATCTTAAATATATATTGCTTAACAAATACGGTGAGTCAACAAAACTTCTTATTATTTTATATAAAAGAATTTGATCTTTTTCCATTCGCCGATCAACCAGAGAACTAATTGCAGAAACGTGATCATCTGCTTCAACTCCAAATCTGAAAGACAGGTGCTTTATAAATTTCTTTTGAATTCTCTCAAGTCCCTCTATATGCTTTTTGTTTTGAGGACTCCATACCGTTGAGGCATATTCTAGAACAAATCTTACGAATGTGTTGTAGAGTAATACGAGAGTAATGACGTTTTCAAAATCTCTTCCAACCCTTAGAATAAAACCAAGATTACGGAATGCTCTATTAGTTATGTAACTGATGTGAAAGCTGAAAGTTAACTTGGAATCAAGATATACACCTAAATCTTTGAACTCAGATACGCGTTCAAGGGAAACATTATTCAAGGTATAAGCAAATGAAATAGGTTTTGTCTTACGAGTGTAAGTTATTACACAACACTTTTTAATATTTAATGTCAAGAAATTATCATCACAATACAAACGTAAGCGATCTAAGTCATTTTGCAATAAATTACAATCTGATTCGGTGTGAATTATCCGGAATAATTTAATATCATCAGCATACAAAAGTACATCGGAGTGTTGACAAACATCAATAACGTCATTAATAAAAATATTAAAAAGAAGAGGACCAAGATGTGACCCCTGGGGTACTCCAGATTTCACAGGAACAAATGACGAACAGAAGCCTTTTATTAAAGCTGCCTGACTTCGATCACGTAAACAAGAGGTAAGCCAGCGAAGTAAGTCTCCATGTATTCCTATTTCTGATAACTTCCTAATTAATACCACGTGATTTACCTTATCAAACGCTTTCGAAAAGTCAGTATATATTACGTCAATCTGACGGCCATCATCCATTGCTGATGTAATTTTATGAATAAGTTCGCATAAATTAGTCTCGGTTGATTTTTTGTCTACAAAACCATGCTGCTGATTGACTATTATAGGTCTTAATAATGGGTAGATCATATCATAAACGATTTTTTCAAATAATTTTGCAATAGAGTTTAGCTTAGAAATAGGTCGGTAGTTCGAAATGTTATGTTTGTCACCCGATTTGTGGACAGGGGTCACATATGAGCATTTCCCCACAGCTAGTACAACACCAGCCTGTAGTGATTTATTAAATAAGATGGA